GGACTCTAAACCCAAAGGGACTCCTTTTTCCAACTTTCTTTCTTTTTCTTTTTTTCTTTTTTTCTTTTTTTAAATCAATCAAAGGTGTCCTATTGGATCTGGACGAGATTGAGGTCCCAAAAAAAAACACAGAGAGAGAAAGAGAAAGAGAGAGAGAGAGAGAGAGAGAGAGAGAGAGAGAGAAAGGAAAGCAAGGAGTAGACCACGAGGAAGAAGAGGTTAAGGTTTTGCAGTGCTGATTGCTTGCTGACCTGTCTGCACCCTGCCGGGCGCTACCATCCGACTGCCGTCTGAAAAACTCTGAGCTCGCAGAGTTGTCGTCGGCTGCAAGTTGAGATGCAGGAGATCTGCTTGTGGTCCAGTCTGCTCCTGCTGACAGCCGTAACGACCTCCTCCTCCTCCCATCAGCAAATCCATACAAATCTGGCGGGAAAATGGGAGATTGGCGGGAAACGGCAGTCTGAGTCCCATTGGTCATCGTCGTGAGCGGTTCCCGCCGAAATTGGAAACCTTCAGTCGAATTATCATTGCCGGCCCCAGCCTCCCATCTTCCCCCCTGATTACTAATATCCCTCTCTCTTCGGAAGATCGCAGATCCCATCTTGTCGGGATCGGGAAGCTGATCATAATCTTCACCGGCGAATGACGGCCGCAGTGGCAGCGCTTCACCATCTTGCTGCCCATCGTCCTGTGGCCAATCTCGCCTCTCCTCTTCCACAACTCTCCCCCTCCCCCGCCCGCTCCTTCTTCCTCCTCCTCCTCCTCCTCCTCGCTTGTCATCACCAGCTCGGATGTTGACAGGCCCATCATCTGACTGCCATCCACCGACTTCCTCACCAGTCCCTTCCCCTCCTTCCCCTCCTTCCCCTCCTTCCATATCTGTAACCTTATCCACAACCTTATCCACAACCTTATCCATAACTTTCTGGGCAACTGCTGCGACAGCATCGGGGGGGCTGATTGATGATGGCCTAAGCACGGCCGTGGACATGCCAAGTCCATCAGCGAAGATGATCTGTGTGGTCTCGCAGAAACTTACTTTGCGTGTGCGCTTCTTCATCCTGGTTCTAGGAGTACGTCGCTGTAGAAGCCCGCCTGTGGTCCCCACCGGCATCGTGACATCCCCCTCCTCTACCCCATTCTCCACCTTGTTTTCTTCAGACATGACGATCCCTTCAGTTGGCCACTTGTAATTGATAGGCAGCTCCCGTTGTTGACACGTGGCAAGAGAAGAGAGAGAGAGAGAGAGAGAGAGAGAGAAGAAGACGAAGAAGAATGAGAGCGAGAGGGGGGGGGGGGGGGGGGGGGGGGAGGCAAGGACGGAAACGCAAAATGAGGTGGGGAGAGAGAGAGAGATTTACTACCCGTTGTTGAGACGTAGAGAGAAAGACATGTACCATCCACCTGTTGCTTCCTCCTTCGGGATCGCCATTCTCATCCTGTCATCTCTTGCCACGTACCACGTGGAATGAAGAATCCATCAGAGTCGCTAAGCCGCCGCTCTTTTCACTGCTGGACAAAGAAAAACACAAGCAGCAGCAGATCACTGATATTATCACAAGACAGTTGCAGCCGGGTGTGGTAAAAATACAAGCACCTTAAAACTCCCTCCTCGTCCGCACCCCGCCCTCCCCCGCCTAACGCTCGCCCTCTCTCCTTTGCTCAAAATAGAGAGCCCGGGCTCACTAGTGTTCCAACGAGTGGGACTACCGGTAGTAGCTCAGTTGGTACACCCATGAACTGTTGATATGCAGACCCAAGTCCAAATCGCAATGTCAACCAAAACGACCACAATCC